TGCTTTGGCACCTGAATAAAAAAAAATGTCTAGATTTTGAAATAGAAATCCGATCCACGCTAGAACCATAACAAAATTAAGCCTCTTTTATCCAGCAGAAAAATTCATTACCAAACTTCACATTTCTTTTCTCAAATCTCAAGCTTCATCCAATTAGTTAAATCACTTGACACCCTTTTATTAAACAAATCGATCTGCCTTCAAAGGAGAAAACAAATGACGGTGCTACTTTATAAAAGGGTCTTAAGCCTTAAAATTTGTTGATAACCTGTACGGCCAGAACTAGTCCATCCAAACAAGTAATAGTAAAATTTAAACTTTGAGGAGTACACCTTTCTTAATTCTTAAAACTCAATCAGATTTTGAAAAGAGGTGATAAATTATCCTCAAGCTAAAACATAATTAGATGAATGAAAAATTAAACTCACCAGACTTTAGATTGATTCACGGCACAACAAAGGCTTCAACGTATGAGTTGAAGGAGAAAAAGCAGTTCCTTAGGGATGGAGGAATAAGAACGGCGGATTGCTGGAAAAGAAGAGAGCCGGTCCTCAAGGGTTAAGAGTGATAATATACTAACTGGTTTGGGCTTCTAATTATCTCTTTAACAAAAAGTTCTATTTTTTCACTTAAAATTATTAGAACTTACCGGTCAACCTGCCACAAACAAAACATGATAAAATAATAAATCACATTGTTCACAAAAGAAACTTATTTAACTGACTGAAATAATAATGACTAATAAAACTAGCTCACAAAATCGGGGTGTTACAACCCCTCCCACCTTATAAAAGTTTCGTCCTCGAAACTTAGAATACAATTCAGGCTAACGATGTCTCACATTATTTCTTTTCTGACTTCTCCAAAGTTCTTAGTGCATGCAACTATATATAATAGCCTTATATCTTTTACAAGGTTAGTTAACTTCACGAGTATGTGACTTTAATGCTCCAAATTCATACTGCCATTTCTTCCAACTACCAATCAAATCATGTTTTTCTTATTGGGAAGACCTACTGCTACTTAAGACCACACAAAGATCTCAACAATTTCTTGATAATTTACTCTAAAGAAAACGTGTTTAAATACTCTCATATTTTCTGCTAACACTACAACACAAAATCACAAGCTAACAACATAGAATATATACTAATTACATTGTCATGTTTGCTTGTTTAAAAAAAAATTAAATTTTAGCCTTGTCATATCGACGTACCCAACATACTATAAAAAAATTGAAATTTAAAATCACATTCTATCGACGTGCTCACATAGGTCAACTTGTCTAATACCTCATCATACTTTTTTTTAAAATAGATTTGTACTACTAAATTTAATTCTTTAAAACCCAAGTATCTCGAAATAGTGTTTTCATCAAAAGGAGAACCTTACTTTGGTTCGAAACCTCACAAACCTAAAAGCATAATGATTAGTGATTAGTATACCGAAGTAGTTACGAAGTTAAATCTAATTTCATATTAGATCTTCTTTTTAAAGTTGCAGCTTTAAACAGAACAATAGTTTCTAATAAAGCGAGCATCTAAATTCAATCTTTGAAAATAATTTACTATTTCAGATTTATACCCTCCCTGCTTGGAGCATAATCCTTTTGGATATGATAGGTGATGTAAAAGTACATATCTTAGGATCCTCACTAGAAAACATTAGTAGCAAGGGGTGGCGTTTCTCATTATGTAGAGTTTCTCATTCCTTTCATTTGATTATATGTTCTCTATAATGACTCCATTCTTTGTCTCCTTGTCATTGTAATATTTATAATAAAAAAAATAACTTGACATTGTTATAGTTATCCACCTCTCACCTATGTGTGTAATAATCAAATTTCAAGGTATTAACTTAGCTGAGATAAAAAGATATCTCAATATTGTGAAAATAATGGGAAAGGTACTCCAATAGGAGTCCTGGCATGTATATAAATAAGAGAGAGTCCAAGATACAAAAGGAAAGCAAATATTCCTAAATATATTTTAGGAAACAAATATTCCTAAAATATATTCTATTACACCCCCTCAAACTGTGCGGGAGATACAACGCGCAGGTTGTCTTTTAAAAAATGAAATTGCTGACTAGAAAGACTTTTAGTAAAAATATCAGCCAGCTGTAACTGTGTAGGAATGTACTTCACGATCAAATCTCCATGCGCAACACGTTCCCTGACAAAGTGGTAGTCAATCTGAATATGCTTGCTACGAGCATGCTGAACAGGATTAGCAGTCAAGTATGAAGCAGAGATGTTGTCACAAAATAACTGAACAGGAGCCTTGACAGGAAAACCAAGCTCAAATAAAATGGAGCGAATATGTAAGGTATCCTGCACTGTGTAAGCAACAGCTCTGTACTCTGCCTCTGTAGAAGACTTGGACACCGTAGGTTGTTTCTTGGATTTACAAGAAACCAGGTTGGGCCCCAAAAAGATAGCAAAACCAGTTGTGGAGCGGGATGAATCTGGACAACCAGCCCAATCTGCATCAGAATAGGCGATGATACAAGTCGCTTGTGCGGTAGGACTTAACCATAGGCCGTGGTCCAAAGTCTCCTGTAAATACCTGAAAATTCTCTTGACTGCAAAAAGATGAGTAGTACGAGGAGCATGCATAAACTGAGACACTAAATGTACATCATAGGTAATATCTGGTTGTGTCAAAGTTAAATATTGTAACGCACCAACCATACTACGATACTCAGTGGCGTCTGCAAGAAGTTCGCCATCAGTGAGAGATAGAGAAGTGCGAGTAGCAAGAGGTGTACGGACAGGCTTAACCGTATGTAAGTGGAAACGAGAGAGAAGATCACACGCACATTTATTTTGAGAAAGAAACAGACCTTTGTCAGAACGTTTAGCCTGGACTCCAAGAAAATAATGAAGATCACCAAGATCCTTCATAGCAAAATGCTGAGCAACAAGTTGTATAAGGGATGAGATAAGAGAAGGAGAATTGTCAGTAATAATAATGTCATCGACATATAATAATAAATAAATGACACAATTATTCTGACGATAGATAAATAGAGAATTGTCCGACTTACTACATGTAAAATGATGTGACAATAAAAAACTATTGAAACGATGGAACCATGCTCGCGGTGCCTGCTTAAGCCCGTAAAGAGCTTTTCGCAGTCTACATAAATGATTAGGAAACAAAGGATGAGTAAAACCCCGCGGCTGACGCATATAAACCTCCTCAGTGAGATGACCATGCAAAAAGGCATTTTTGACATCCAGTTAACGAATAACCCACCCAAAAGAAATAGCTAGAGAAAGAACAACCCTGACAGTGGTGGGTTTAATAACTGGACTAAAGGTCTCAGAAAAATCTACACCAGCCTGTTGACTAAACCCCTGAGCAACTAAACGAGCTTTATGGCGCTCAATAGACCCATCAGAATTATATTTCGTTTTATAAATCCACTTAGAGCCCACAACATTTTTAGTATTGTCAAACGGGACTAATTCCCAAGTATTATTAGAAATAAGAGCATTAAATTCTTCTTCCATCGCCTCTCTCCATTTAAGCTGTTTATTTGCCTCTGAAAAACAAGTAGGATCAGCTGATAAAGCAACTGTATTTAAATTAAAAACAGTTTTGGGTTTAAAAATGCCCAATTTAGCCCGGGTTTGCATGGGGTGAAAGTTTTTCGTGGAAGTCGGAGGGGAGGGAGGTGGAGTAGCAGTGGTCTGAGAAGTGCCTGGGCTATCATCGGGCGGGTCTGCAGCGGGCGGGTCTAGTGTAGGTAATGAGGTCGCGGGAATCGTGGGTAAGGATGGTGGTGTGAGCTGGTGTGTGGAATGTGGTGAGGTGATCTGTGACGAGGATGGCTGGGGCGAGGGTGGTGGTGTGAGTTTAGGGATGGCAACGGGGCGGGTTTGGGGTGGGGGTTTACTCCCCCATCCCCCGCCCCATGTCTAAAAAGCTTCCCCCATCCCCACCCCATCCCCCGCTACTCCCATCCCCGCCCCATCCCCGCCCCACCCCGGTGTCCCCCACGGTTGCCCGCGGGTGCCCCCATATAGATTTTATTTACTCCCCCCGTCCCATTTAGAGGTTTTCACGCGGTTTACGATATTTACTGACCATAAAGTTAAATAATCACTGTCATTAGTAGAATTATTTTTAGTAAATAGAATTTACATATTTAGAAACAACATTAAAAGTTCTATAATACCTGATAAAAAAATTTAATTTGATAAAAGTTAGATAGTAAAAGATTAAGAACAATGCACGTTGATCGGAGAACAGTGGACGAGAATCTTTAAATGAGACAGAGGAAGTATTTTATTTGCATATTTTTTAACCCATTTTAAAGATAAATATAAATATATATATATATATAGCACTAAAAGAAGTAAGCTAGATAAAATCGTGTTTGATAAAAGTAAATTCCGCCAATTTTTAATAATTCTTTAATTTGAATAAGAAAATTAAAAATATAAGTAAACATATTATCATCATGTATGTCATTACAAATTTCTCATCAATTAGAATACAATTAATTATATATGGAGTATATTATACTTAAATATGCATATGTGTTCTATTAACTCACTTTGTCACTTTTAAAACTCATATAACATTTATGACAAGTATTTTTTTAGTTATTACGTATTATTATGATGATATAACATTTATTAATTCATTAATCATGACTAATACACAGTTACACACATATTTACATTTACATATGTCTATATGTATATGCATGTGTTTGTTATATACTTCGTACTACATACTCTATAATTTACTTAAATAAGGTTATACATTATTTAAATGTGTATGTATGTTTGTATATATATATGTGTGTGTGCGCGCGTATGTTTGAGTTTATATATATAACGGGGACGGGGCGGGGACGGAGCGGGTGTAGCAATCCCCGCCCCTGCCCCATATTTTAACGGGGTATAAATATCCCACCCATCCCCGTCCCCACCCCGCCCCAAACCCCACCCCATGCTCCCCCCATGGGGCGGTTCCCCACGGGCCCCCGCCCCCATTGCCATCCTTATGTGAGTTGGTGTGAGGGCTGCTCTGGCTGATGTGGAGTGTGGTCTAGAAGAGTGTGTGGTGGTGAGGTAGTGCTAGCGAGAGTCTGGGAAGAGGGAATGGGAGCAGCCGAAGGCAGGTCAATATGACTGGAGTAGGATGAAGCTAAAGGTGAGTTTGGGGTAGTGGTGGTGAGATAAAAATCAGTGAACGTGGAGGAATCTGTAGAAGCAGATGTAGAAGAAGACAAAGTGGTGTATGGAAAAATATTTTCATGAAACCGGACATGCTGACTTATAAAAACTTTACCAGATCTAGGCTCCAAACAACAATAACCTTTAAAACCGGATGCATAGTCAATAAAGACACACTGAATAGACCGAGGAGAAAGTTTATTGGAGGAAGATGCAGAAAAATTAGGATAACATGCACAACCAAAAACACGTAAGAAATTATAATCGGGCAATTTTTGAAAAAGTTTTTCGTAGGGTGAGAGACCAGAAAGAGTGGTAGAGGGAAGTCTGTTCACAATGTAAACGGCGGTAAAAATAGCATCAACCCAAAAGGTGCTAGGAATAGAGGTAGTAATAAGCATAGTCCTAGTTAGTTCAAGTAGATGCCGATGTTTATGTTCAGCAACACCATTTTGTTGAGGAGTGTAGGGACAAGATTTTTGAAAATAAATCCAATTCTCAGAGAAAAATTGCTGCATTTGAAAATTGACAAACTCACCCCCTCCATCACTTTGAAAAATCTTAAGTTTAGAATTAAATAAATTTTCAACTAGAACCTTGAAAACACGAAAATGACTAAAAACTTCATCCTTGGTACGCATTGGGTACCACCAAGTGAAACGAGAAAAATCATCAATAAAATAGACATAATATTTAAAACCTAGATTAGACAGAACAGGAGACTGCCACACATCAGAATGAATTAATTGCAAAGGAAAAGAGGAATTATGACTAGCATCAGGAAAAGGTAAACGTTGTGATTTGCCCAAACGGCAAGAAATACAGTCATGATCAAAACCAGAAGAAGCAGAAATAATATTTTTAGTACGCAACATGCGCAAAATGTTTTCACCACAATGTCCTAATCTACGGTGCCACACAGGACCAGAAGAAATAGTAGAAGCTAAAGCTAGAGGTGCAGAGTGGCTGAGGCTGATAGGGTAGAGATGTCCATTATGATGTGCCCGAAGCAGAACCGCCCCCGAAATTTTGTCCTTTACAAGAAAAGAATTTTGATAAAAAAATAGCAATACAGTTGTTATCAGCACACAGTTTTTGAATAGAAATTAAATTAAATTTAATTTGAGGCACATGATAAACAGAGTTTAATGAAAAAGGACGACTGAGAGTATTTAACTGAATATTTCCAATATTAGCTATGGGAAGATTGACACCATTTGCAACACTAACAGTCATAGGGCCAGAATAAGAAGATTTATTTGACAAAATACCTTCTGAGGAGGTCATGTGAGCAGACGCACCAGAATCGGGATACCACAAAGCATCATTAGATTCCCCAGTGGGAGCCAAAAGAGCTGGTGCAGAAGGTTGTGAATATCGAGAGGGACACCGAAGAGCGGAATGACCTGCAGAAAAACAAATTTGGCAGACAACCGGAGGTGGAACAGACCCAAGAATACCCTCAGCTGATGGAAAACCTGCATATGCATTATGAGTACCAGAAGTAGATTTAGCATTAATATTTAAATTGGACAAGACAGAATTACCAGATGCTGCATTAGGAGGTCGTGGAACATGCACACCCCCTGCATCCGCAGGCCTCGGTGCGGGCTGGTGGAACTGGCCGTGAGCCGCCGGTGGGGCATAAGCCTGCTGTGGCCGATTGCGGCCCCTGCCGCCTCTGCCGCGGTAACCCCAGCCTCCTCTACCGCGGTAACCCCGGCCTCCTCTGCCGCGGTGGCCTCTGCCGCGATATGCGGCACCTTGACCCTGCTGACCGGCACCTACTTGAGCCCCAAATGCCTGCTGGAGGGAAGAAGCATCTTGTTGTTGTTGATGTAGGACTTGTTGTTCTGCTTCCATGAGGCGTGGGTGAAGGATGTCGGGCGGAAAGCTCTCAGGAAATAAGGACACAGTGCCTGTAACAAACTTGTATTCCGGTCCCAATCCACTAAGTGTGCTTTGAAGTAATTCTTTATCAGTCACAGGAGAATTTGTCGCAGCTAAAGCATCAGTCAGATTTTTAATATCACGCAAATAGCTTTCCATAGATTGATTTGGTTTCTTTTTGGTATTAGACAATAAACGTTTGAGTTCCATAGCTCTAGGTAAACTGGCAGACATAAAACGTGATTGCAACCGCGCCCATATACCAAAGGAGTGTTTAATATCATGAACATCAGTTAATACATCACGAGTAAGAGTGGCAAACAACCAAGAACGGATGGTTTGATCCACCCGAAGCCAATGATAATAATCAGTATTAACGATGCGCTGATTATTAAAATCCAAGGTATACATGGGAGGTACCTGAATTGTGCCATCAACCATACCAAAAAGACCCTGTGACACTAGGAAAGACTCGAACTGAGTACGCCATGTAAGATAATCTTCCACCGCTTTAAGCTTAATAGTCACAATTTGACAGACATTGGCAATTCCATGTGAGACAGATTGTGCCAGTGCTGACATAGGAGAACCAAAGAGGGGATTGTCATGAGCAGGCCGAGTGACACCCGGCGAACCAGCGAAGGATGGCCCGTAGTATTGATTGCTGACTGACTGACTGCGGAGTTGGTGTGACCGGAGGGAGAACTGGACCGGGTTGCTGCCATGGAACCTGGGGTTGCTGTCGTGGAGTTGCTGGATGTAGACCCGGACCAACCTGCTGCCACAGGAATTGTGGCGGTATGGTATTAAACAGAGAAAATTGAGGCTCGGTGGAGTATGAAGGAAAATCCGACACCATGGAAAACGATGAAGGCAGCGGTATGGAGGTGAACCGTGCATCACTTGCTGAACTCGGTTGAGAAGAATCCAGAGCAGCAGTAGTGACAACCGACGAAGAGAAGGTGTCGCTTGCACTGATTGTTGGCGTAGTTTCAGCGGAAGAGAGAGGGGAGGTTTCGCTGGTTAGGATCGGCGCCATGGAGGTCTGCGCCTGCGACATGGCTGCGGCGAAAGTTTGAGAGGAAGGAAAAAAAAGGGTTTTCCTTAGGCTCTGATACCATGTGAAAATAATGGGAAAGGTACTCCAATAGGAGTCCTGACATGTATATAAATAAGAGAGAGTCCAAGATACAAAAGGAAAGCAAATATTCCTAAATATATTTTAGGAAACAAATATTCCTAAAATATATTCTATTAAATATGTTAGCTTCTTATTTAAGATGGACTTATATCATATCAAGGCAATCCAGTTCACCCTTGTAAAATGTTTTTTTTTTGCTACAGTACTCATACTTTATGAGTTGAGGAGATTATTACATATATGTAAACTTGATAACATACCTGTTGGGATATATTATCCCGGCCTATTACTGTTCAGGAGCCCAGGACATTACTCACTACGGAGCCCGAGCAGCTAGGCCCATTTCGGCCCATCCGGCCCACTCTAGCCATTTCGGCCCGCTTCGGCCCACGCGGCCCGTTAGGGTGGAGAGCATCCCCTCCCCCTATTCTCTATAAATATGGGAGCTTCCCTCCATATTGAGGAGGCTCTTTTTTAGCTTCCTTCTTCCTTCTTCCTCTAGAATAGCTCAAATACTCCATTAATGGGAGCTTCAAGCTTGTATAATGTAATGGTGAGGAGAGCCTAATGAGAATTGAGAGGGCTTGGACATTAGCCTAAAAAGTCCCGTGGTTTTCTCCCTTTCGGGTTTCCACGTAAAAATGGCTTGTTCATACACATTTATACGTATATTTACTATATCGTGTTGGATTAAACTCAACACTGGCGCCGTCTGTGGGAATCTGTCCAAAAAGATTCGTGTGTTCTACTGTTCTTGAGTTTCTGCGAAAAATTCATATGGAGTGGATTGATTCCAGCGAAAAAGAAGGAAAAATGACTGATTTGAACGGGAGGAAGAGGAAAAACGAGGATTTTGGAAGATCTGGGTTGTCCGGATCTTGCTCTGTTTTGCTGCCGCCGCCGGAGCATCGTCGCCGCCAAAGCATCACCACACCACCGTCGCCATCACCGACCTACTGCTGGTTACTCCCCCCACCCGGTCGCCGTTCGAGCTTCCACGACTCGGCCGACGCGACATGTGGGGTATGCCGGTCGAGAGCTTCATGATTCTGCCATTAATGGTGTTTTTCGAGCTCAGAATAAGGACGTTCAGTAGTTCGGTCGAGCTTCCGCCGGATAAAATCTGTTCGGGCCGCCTTGCTCGGCTGCGACCGCCGTCTCCACTCGCGAGAAGTGACCGACACGAACGGCCTGCACCTGGTTTGGTAGGATGGTGCTCCACCTGCCTTTTCCTAAAAGATGTACTCCGCACACGATGCCTTGGTCTGAGGCAAGCCACGTCCGTGGAGTGAGGCCAAATAATGAAGAGCAAACTTTTAAAATAATGTTGACCGGGTCAAAATTGATGGAAGAATTGACCAAGCTTTATCTCCAAACCCAGCTGGCCGAAGCTTGATCTCCAAAAGCTAAGTGCCACTAACCCAATTTACTAGTTATTGAAGTATTAGAATAATACAGCATGATTAAATATTGCCAGTATTTTTATCACCATTATTTATTAGGGATTAAAACTCCCGAAATTAAATAATGAGAGTGATGCTCTAAGTGATAATTAGTTTTTACCGTCATTTAAATTTAATGACTGGTTGTTGTGGGCCCGTCGGCCCGCTCCTGATCAGCTTTAATTAGCGAACGGAGCGCATCTGAATGACCAATGATAGGATAATATCGGTATTATTGCCTGTTACATCACTATTATTTGTTAGGGATAAAAATGTCCCGAAATAAATAATGCAGAGCGAAGCTCTAGTGATAGTTAGTTCGGCCAATATTTTATCGAATATTTAATTTTTTGTGGGGCCCGATGGCCCACTCTCAATCAGCTTGATTAAGCGATCCGAGCGTCTCCAGAAGGGCGATGCCCCGACGACGCATTTTAATTGGGGGGTTACGCATTGGTCCGCACGGCACCAAGTGCCCGAGCGACGATCGTACCCTAGTACCATCTGCGCCACTAGGCGAAGTGACTGTGCCAAACGCGGCCTGTGGGGCCCGAGGGCACCGAAGTGCTCAACCTCATTTTTCGAGGGTAGTGCGACCAACTTGGGTCTGAGTTTGAAAACTCACGGACCGGTGAATATTTCTATGTGACGTTCGGCGGGCTGCTAATTGGCCCCGCCGCGAGCTGCTACGTCCATTAACCCCGCACGATGAGCCGGGCCGAGGGTCACGATGACCCATAGGCCGGTAATCGTGGGTGTTAGAGGGAAGCCACGATGACCCATGCAGATGGTTATGTGTGCATATTTATTATCGGGCCGCGCGGCCCGTTACCATGCTTATTGCGCAGCCGAAGCCGCTCGACGCGCTTGAGCGAAATGATTAGAAGACGCTCGGCCCGAATCTTGAAGACGTGCAGGGCCGGCTAAAGAGGAGACCATCACGGCTGAGGACCGTGAGACGAGCATCTCCACCTAGAGGCCGAGGGCCTAGAGGAGACCACCACGGTTGAGAACCGTGGGACGGGCATCTCCACCCCAGAGACCGATGGCCTAGGGAGAACACCTAGAGGCTGAGGGTCTAGAGTGGACTACCACGACGGAGGACCGTGAGACGATCATCCATCATTCAGAGGCCGAGGGCCTAGAGGAGACCATCACGGTCGAGGGCCGTGAGACCATCCTGATTTTCAGGTCGGCCTCTCATTGCCGACAACACCATATCACGACCGGCCTCTCGGCACGGCGTGATTTCCATATTTGAAGACCGGCCTCGTCCCCGCACTGCGCGGATGAGAGCCGTTGCTGGATTGCAGGTCGGCCCCTCATTGCCGACACTGCCACATCATGTTCGGCATCTCATCGCCGACATCATCATACCACGACCGGCCTCTCGGCACGGCGTGTTTATCTTTTGAAGACCGGCCTCGTCCCCGCCCTTCGTGGATGAGGGCCGTTGCTTGATTCTGTCAGATCGGCCTCTCATTGCCGACACCATTATATCGCGACCGGCCTCCCGGCTCGGCGTGCTTTCCATATTTGAAGATCGGCCTCATCCCCGCTCCCCGTGGGTGAGGACCGTTGTGTGCTCACTCTCAGGTCGGCCTCTCATCGCTGACATCATTATATCACGACCGGCCTCTCGGACCGGCGTGATTATCATATTTGAAGACCGGCCTCGTCCCCGCTCTTCGCGGATGAGGACCGTTGCTTGATTCTTTCATATCGGCCTCTCATTGCCGACATCATTATACCACGACCGGCCTCTCGGCTCGGCGTGCTTATCTTTTGAAGACCGGCCTCATCCCCGCCACCTCGTGGACGAGGACCGTTGTTGATTCTTTCAGGTCGGCCTCTCACTGCCGACACTATCATGTTATGTTCGGCCTCTCGGCACGACATATTTATCTTTTGAAGACCGGTTTCATCCCCGCGCTGCGTTGGATGAGAGCCGTTGCTCGGATATATCGGCCTGACTAGACACTATTGCCATCTCCATTATCAGGACCGACTGCTCAGCGACATTATGATCATTGTGTATCGGCTCCCAATGTCGACCTTCTTGAGTTAGCGATTGGGCTCACCCCTCCCTTCAGGAGGGTGACCATCGCCTTCGCATGACGACCAGCATTTCCATCGCCTCGTCATTCTATTCATTTTGATATCCCACCACCATTATGTGTGACATCACTTGTGGTTATTCTTGGAACCGACGAACGTATTTTCCTCCCTCAAAAAAAAAAAAAAAAAAAAAAAAAAAAAAAAAAGAAGGAAAAAAAAAAAAAAAAAAAAAAAAAAAAAAAAAGATGGGGAGAAGGGGAGACGAGATCCTATGAGAGAGGGAGTCTTGACGAGGTATGCCTGATCTTCCTTCACCACGTGACGAACGTCTCCCGACGCGGAGGTTAGTAGGAACGTGGGGGAGGCTGGACGTACCAAAGGGAACCTCGGCAAGATAAACCAGTTCCTCCCATTTCCCGTGGATCGATGAACACCTTCTGCAAAAGCAGAAGGCTAGTAGGGCCACGAGCATGGGACGACGAAGCAGGGAATCCCGACGTGGATACACCTGTTCCTCCTTGCGATCGTTGGTTGACCGAACGTCTTCTTCGAAGTAAGAAGATTAGTAGGACCGCGACAAGGACGAACGAAGAATAGGGAATCCCGACGTGGATACACCTGTTCCTCCTTGCGATCGTTGGTTGACCGAACGTCTTCTTCGAAGTAAGAAGATTAGTAGGACCGCGACAAGGACGAACGAAGAATAGGGAATCCCGACGTGGATACACCTGTTCCTCCTTGCGATCGTTGGTTGACCGAACGTCTTCTTCGAAGTAAGAAGATTAGTAGGACCGCGACAAGGACGAACGAAGAATAGGGAATCCCGACGTGGATAAACCTGTTCCTTCTCATAGTTGGGATGACGAACGTCTCCTGCGAAACCAGGAGACCAGTACTCACGAGACTTGGGAAGAACGAAGAACCAGTTCTCTACCGGAGTCTGTGCATGCCGAGTGTACACTGCTTAGCGGTCCGTACATAGGACCACGGATACGGTAGACGAACGAAGACCAGCTCCATGGATCAGACACGATGGACCAGCTCTTTACCGGAGTCTGTGCGTGCCGAGTGTACACTGCTTAGCGGTCCGTACATAGGACCACGGATACGGTAGACGAACGAAGACCAGCTCCATGGATCAGACACGAAGAACCAGTTCTTTATCGGAGTCTGTGCGTGCCGAGTGTACACCGCTTAGCGGTCCGTACATAGAACCACGGATACGGTAGACGAACGACGATTAGCTCCCCAGCTCAGACAAGAGAGACATTGCCCAGATTTATTTTCAGGCTCACCATTCCTTCCCGGATGGAGTCCGGCAGACGATCGGTTTCTCACAGCCAATCAGGAGAGAGACTTGACACATCACCAGCACGGCCGAGGGCCGCGAGAGGCCGAGGGCCATGAGATGATCATCACTATTTTTATGCATCACGATCGGCCCCTCAGCGCCATCGTGTCCTGATTCACGGTTCGGATCGCCCATTTCCCTCCAGGATGGCGACGACCGTCTTATGCAGTACGATCGGCCCCTCAGCGCCATCGTACCCAGCTCACGTTCGGCTCGTCCATCCCTTCCAGGGTGGCGACGAACGTCTTATGCATCACGATCGGCCCCTCAGCGCCATCGTGTCCTGATTCACGGTTCGGATCGCCCATTTCCCTCCAGGATGGCGACGACCGTCTTATGCAGTACGATCGGCCCCTCAGCGCCATCGTACCCAGCTCACGTTCGGCTCGTCCATCCCTTCCAGGGTGGCGACGAACGTCTTATGCATCACGATCGGCCCCCTCAGCGCCATCGTGTCCTGATTCACGGTTCGGATCGCCCATTTCCCTCCAGGATGGCGACGACCGTCTTATGCAGTACGATCGGCCCCTCAGCGCCATCGTACCCAGCTCACGTTCGGCTCGTCCATCCCTTCCAGGGTGGCGACGAACGTCTTATGCATCACGATCGGCCCCTCAGCGCCATCGTGTCCTGATTCACGGTTCGGATCGCGCATCTCTTCCAGGATGGCGACGAACGTCTTATGCAGTGCGATCGGCCCCTCAGCGCCATCGTACCTGGCTTCACGGTTCGGCTCGCACATTCCCTCCGGGATGGCGACGACCGTCTTATGCAGCACGATCGGCCCCTCAGCGCCATCGTGTCTCTTTCACGTTCGGATCGCGCATCTCTTCCAGGATGGCGACGAACGTCTTATGCAGTGCGATCGGCCCATCAGCGCCATCGTACCTGGCTTCACGGTTCGGCTCGCACATTCCCTTCAGGATGGCGACGACCGTCTTATGCAGCACGATCGGCCCCTCAGCGCCATCATGTCTCTTTCACGTTCGGATCATGCATCCCCTCCAGGATGGCGACGAACGTCTCATATGCAGCACGATCAGCGCCCCAGCACCATCGTGTCTGGCTCGTGTTCGGCTCGCCCATCCCTTCCAGGATGGCGACGAACATCTCTTATACAGCTCGATTGGCCCCTCGGCGGCATCATGCCTAGTTCACCTCCGGCTCCGCCCATGCCATCTCGGATGGGGGACTCGTCGTATGCAGCATGATTGGCCCCTCGGCGGCATCATGTCTAGTCCACCTTCGGCTCCGCCCATGCCATCTCGGATGGGGGACCCGTCTTACGCAGCGCGTCTGCTTCTCGGCGCTGACATGCCCGGGTTATCGATGAGAGCTACTGCTTCTATCACATCTTGCATTCCCTCTCTCATACATTACATACATACATTACATGCATACATACATTCATGCATCATACCTCATACATCCATACATACACACGTGCATCATGTTTTGACAGTACCGCGACGTCGGTTTATAGATGATGGACCTCTAAGCTTCTCCGATTGGAAAGCTCGAGTCAGAGTTCTTTACTCCCGCCTGATGCATTCAGGGGGAGTGTGCCCGTGGAGGAGCACCCTTCGCCCGACCCTGTCAAGAAGGGGGGTGCCTCACTGGTAGATTACATTCAGGAGTGCAGACACTCACTCATATATGATGATTATGTGAAGACACAGTTTCCAGCAAGACAGAGGAAGAGCGCAGGCAGAATATATTTTCTCGAGCAGATTCGCGAGCTCACTACTCAAGAAACTGGGGGACTTGTGTTGGGATATATTATCCCGGCCTATTACTGTTCAGGAGCCCAGGACATTACTCACTACGGAGCCCGAGCAGCTAGGCCCATTTCGGCCCATCCGGCCCACTCTAGCCATTTCGGCCCGCTTCGGCCCACGCGGCCCGTTAGGGTGGAGAGCATCCCCTCCCCCTATTCTCTATAAATATGGGAGCTTCCCTCCATATTGAGGAGGCTCTTTTTTAGCTTCCTTCTTCCTTCTTCCTCTAGAATAGCTCAAATACTCCATTAATGGGAGCTTCAAGCTTGTATAATGTAATGGTGAGGAGAGCCTAATGAGAATTGAGAGGGCTTGGACATTAGCCTAAAAAGTCCCGTGGTTTTCTCCCTTTCGGGTTTCCACGTAAAAATGGCTTGTTCATACACATTTATACGTATATTTACTATATCGTGTTGGATTAAACTCAACAATACCTAATCTATAAATGTCCCTCAATTTGTAAGGAAACTGCACCATAAACATAGTGTGTAACACGAGTAGGAGCACAGCCCGATAAAAAAATGCAAAGTGGATATATAGTTTTCTTAAAAGTGAGGTGGAAGGGAATTTCAATTCCCAACTATTTGCTTTTGAATAATAATGCTCTCCCATAATGGTAAAGTTTTCAAAGCTTTCTAAAATAATAAAGTAGCCAAACAGTAATTACATAATTTCTCATGAAAGTGAATAATTATTAACAACCATATCATCTAAACTCAATAGACTGCATCAGGCCTTATCCGATATTGACCTAGATATATATAAAATCTCCCCAATTTACAGGTAACTCAATACTTGTTTTTTATGGGTTTTTTTACAAGAATATTATTAAAATAAAACTTATTTACATAAATATGACTATTCATTACTACAATGTAGTGTTGTGGTAACTTAAGTTCAAAACTTGAACATGAATTACTATGATTTCATTACTACTCTAGTAAGTAGTCATATTTTTGTAAACATTTTTTATTTTGATAATATTTATGTAATTATTTCTTTTTTACTACTTTACATAAACTCTTACATTTTAGATCTTCAGATTTCAATAGAAATAATAATTTCATCAAAGGATCTAATAAGCCGATCAAAGGATCTACACTAATATCTTTCAAAAGAAAATCTAACATCATAGTCAGGTATTAGATTTGACTGACAATAAGTTAATCAATCAAAAGTCACATATTATAACTTACTCAACTGTTGGGGTTCAAGGGGGTTCAAGCCCTTGAGTTGCTGATAACTTATAACAAAAGAATAGTTTGTGGTGCCGAGCTTTCTATACGCTTTATGCTCACCAATACTTCTATTACTCAAAGAGCATATTAGTTCCCAACAAGAACTCATTGGGATACTCTGTACAAATACTCGTAAATAATGGCTTAAGAGAGTTTGATGGTACTATACCGTATTCTTTATTCTATTGAAATGTTCATACTTTAAATCATTTCGTATTGAAACGCGCTTCACAAATCCCTATATCATAGCGTGCAACAGGTTTTAAGACTCATGATTTAATAGAAATTAGTTTAATTTAATTCTTCCACTCATTCATCTAATCTAACTTCTAAGAACCAGATACTGTTAAAACTTTTGAATCATGTATATAGACTTAAATGGTAGGCCATTCTAAAGAAATTTAAGTGGTGAGACTCAATATATTTTGGTAATTGGTAACCAAATGGTAAAAGAATATGAGGACTACCTTTATACAAAAAGTGTACAACACTGTTTGAATCTCATTGCCAAAGGCTGAAAATATTCCGGGGAAAAAAAGTTCTTTAAGGCCTTTCAAAAACAAACTTTCTTCTGAAACACACTTTTGACGAAATAGCTAAATAATAAACTTATATATCACTTAAAAGAATTAACCTATTCGACTTCAGGTAAAATCACTATCATGTGCTTAATCATTAATCACTAAATGCATTAAGTGATTAATCAACACACATTAAAACTTATTTTAAAATAAGCGTTAACAACTTAAAGGCAACATACTTTTAAATAATTTGACTATTGCTCATATATTAAAGTGGTGTTTTTCTACTGGTATTTAATGTTGGAATCATGAAATTGATGAGAGGCCCTCCCAGCAACTCAAGATTTCAAACATGAAATAACAACACTCAACACTCTAGAAAAATCATGCAGCTTATGATATTGTTGATAAAACATTTAACTCCACTAATTAAGAACCTTTGAAATCCAAGTTGAAGTTTCAACATTTTTATACAAAAATTAAGTTATACCTTATAACTCCTTTAATTTTATTTTTCCTTACAAAATATAATAAGATAGCCTAAATAACATGGGACCTTTTTTTTAAAAAATAACTTTCAAATAGCAAATACATATAAATACATAACAAACTGATGTGTGTGCTTATGGAAATTCATCATATCATGTAACCCAATTGCATGTGATGCTTTTTAAAAAAAAACCAAACAAACTCATTATTATTCTTTTTAATTTAAGAAAAAGAATATAACTAATAAGACTTAAACCATGAATAAACTACAAGTTGTATAAAAAGACAGGTGGAATAACACTTTTCGCTACGGGAAATTTAGAAAATTGAGCCCAATAACTTTTACCTCAAGGGCCTTAGACCACATCTCAATTTCATTTTCATCTTGGCTAATACAGTAACACCCATTAACCATTGACACGTTTGCTAGATCCGGGTCTCCTGCCCCGCCTACCCGTAGACTTTACAACATTTCAAGAAACATCTTCGTATTGTAATGAATACACATTATCCATATATATATATATATATATATGGATGAGTTCAAATGAGAAGACATCTTAATGTGTAAAATGAGAATTAATCTCAGCCGTCCAAAATGTCGATCTGATGCACAATAGCCCCTATCTGATGCACTTTCGAATAGACCTTATTTGATGCACTTTCGAAAAGCAAAAACTGATGTGTGTGCTTATGGAAATTCATCATATCATGTAACCCAATTGCATGTGATGCTTTTTAAAAAAACCAAACAAACTCATTATTATTCTTTTTAAACCCTAAACCCTAAACCCTAAACCCTAAACCCTAAACCCTAAACCCTAAACCCTTTCGAAAAGTGCATCAAATAAGGTCTATTCGAAAGTGCATCAGATAGGGGCTATTGTGCATCAGATCGACACTTTGGACGGCTGAGATTAATTCTCATTTTACACATTAAGACTTTTTTTATTTGATCCAATATATATATATATATTGGAGTTTTATATATATATATATATATATATATATATATATATATATATATATATATATATATATATATAATATTTGTAGTTTTACTTAGATAAAATAGTGGTTATTCTTATACGCCCACTACAACAAAATAAGGTTTTTGTAACATTTTGTGTGTAACACTTTTTTTTTGTTACATATTAAATTTAGAGTTAAAAATGTGCAACACATATTTATAAGTGTTACATAAATGTATGAATATTAAAATATGCAACACTTAATGTAAAGTATTGCATATTGTTAGATATTATGTAACACGTATATTTAAAGTGTTGCATTTAATAATAATGATTGATGTTTTTGTAACACTATTGAGGAGTGTTACACCTAATTGGAATATATGCAACACAATTTTATACAAGTATTGTTTTAAAATTTTAATTTATTCAATCGTAAATTAAAAGTAGTATTCACTTCCCGCTTCTAATTAACTCCCGCTTATAATTCCCGCTAGCATATTACATACAGAGTAGTATTCCTTTACCATATTCATGATTATTCTCCTAACCCTACCCTGATATCTTCAAGCTCTCTCAAACATGCGCTCCTCTTCAAACTGCCGACTTTGTTCCATATAGATCCCCTTCAGGTACCGATCAGTCCTGCCTTGCTTAATTACCTTAATTTATTGCTTTAGGATCCCTAATTTCCCAGCTCCCTTTAATTAGCTCTCCAACTTGTGCGCTGCTCTAGGCGTGCTGCTCCAGGCCTCTGCTCGATCCGTTCTACTTTGTCGTTCTTGAATCGGAGAAGGTAAGGTCTTAACCTCCATCAATCATCAGTAATTTCTTAATACTTTCTTCTTTAATTTCCCTTTAATTTCCCAGGTACCGATTAGCCTTCCCTTTAATTTCCCAAACTTGTGCGCTGCTCCAGGCGTGCTGCTCCAGGCCTCTGCTCGATCCGTTCTACTTTGTCGTTCTTGAATTGGAGAAGGTAAGGTCTTAACCTCCATCAATCATCAGTAATGTCTTAATACTTTCTTCTTTTTGTTTAGGTTTCTTAAAGGTTTCTTCTTCTGTGTTTACGGTAATGTGGGTAATGGCATAACAAATGTGATTAGGTTTTTTGTTTACGACTAGATGTGATATAAGTTTCATGTATGTTTAACAATTTTATCGGCTCTCATGAACTATCTCAATTACCCCTTTTTCATCTGCTGGAATGAATTTACAGTTTGTGTTAACCTAAGAAAATATTTTTTATGTTGTGAGCCAGTGAGGGTCATATGGAACTCAGCAAGAATATAAAAAATTACATTTACATGATATGTCATTGTAATAAGCTAATTATGTCTTTGGTGTTGATGAACTAGTACGGGATGATCTTGTCTTTCAAGATCAATAAATCTTGATTCTCTTGATAATAAGCAGATTTTTCTTTTGGGTAGTGAACACATAACAAAAGAGACAATAATTGTGAAATACTTCCTCCGTTCCTTTATAATTGCAACAGTCCACTTTTCACGCTTGCCAACGCACAAGTTTGACCGTTAATATCTTTCATTCCTTATTAGTAAAAAAATTAAAAAAATCAGATTTTGAAAATTTATTATGAGAGAAATTTAAAAATATTTTTTAAAAATTTAATTCGTAATACATTAATTAATAAAATGTAGTCAAAGTAGAATATGTGAATAGTAAAAAAAGTCCTATGTTGCAATTAAAAGAGAACGGAGGTAGTAGGCAACAACAATTTCAAGTATTAAATTAATTAAAAGCTGAAGTCCATATCTTCCTTGCAATTTTGGAAACCTCTTTCTTTTTAATAATGAATAAAAGCTTACTAGAGATCTGTTTGGATATGGATACTAGTCAACTACTACAACCGGGTTTGTGATTGCCATAACAAAATTATTTGAGCTGCAAAATCTGCAATATTTGGTACTGGAATGCATCTTGTGAATAAAAAAATGCTGAATTTTCCTTTAAAAAAGAGTTAAAGGACTTAAAGCTATCACTATGTACTGGGATGCATCTTGCGATTTATAAATTTTAAACATTCCTTTTATTCACAGATGTAAACACATCACAGGGTGTAGGGGTATCATTTATGCCTTCATTCATATGAAAGTTACACCTGTAGGATTTACTAGCCCCGAACTGAAAAAAAAATACCCATCCATATGCACTGAAATCTAAACCCATGGGCACTACTGCTGAAACTGTAGAATTATTGCCGCCGGGCAGTAGATGACTTTTATTTTAGTTTATTACTTGGTGGGCTAATGGTGGAGGTTATATATCTTTTGATCCTGCAGTTTCTTTATGCGACAGTTTGGACTAAAAGTGCTTTTGACTTGTAACGTTTTTTCTGTTTTGGACTGGTCTTCGAGCCCTCACTGGTTCAGGGCCTGTTCCTCTTGATGTATGCTCTTTAATCTTTCTAGACTAGACTAGATTGGTTCTTAGATTTCTCTTGACACATTGTAAAATGTTACTTTTTGGGCGTTTTTTAATATAGTACCTTTCATCCAAAAAAAATCTAAACCCCTTAGAGAAGGTCCTCAATATCATTCTT